TACATACACACACACACACACACACACACACACACACACTGGATTCAACAGATCTATATGCACAGTGTATATTTACATTGTACTGAGGGTTTATTGACCAGACATACTCTCGTGGGTTAAGTGTTCATCAGAGTGACGGCCCAGGGGAAGAAACTGTCCTTGTGCCTGGTTGTCTTGGTGCACAGTGACCTGTAGCACCATCCAGAGGGGAGGAGTTCAAACAAATTGTGTCCCGGGGTGTGAGGGGTCTGCAATGATCCCCTCCTCCCTCCTTTTGACCCATGCATTGTACAGGTTCTCCATGGAGGGCAGGCTCACACCAATGATCTTTTCTGCAGTCCTGATTGTCCACTGAAATCTGTATTTGTCCTGTTTGGTTGCTGAGCCAAACCAGACAGTGATGAAGGTGCAGAGAACAGACTCGATGATTCCTCTGTAGAACTGTATCAGCAGCTCCTGGGGCAGGTCAAACTTCCTGAGCTGGCGCAGGAAGTACATTGTTAGGTTATTTTTTAGTTAGATAGATATTCAGAGATTTGTTGTCTAGGAATGTTTAGTGCAGACAGGGTGACTAGCTTAGGCTGTTAACTGTTCAGCCTGCAGTGCAGACTGCAGGCGCGTCAAGGTTACAGGAAAAGAGCTGTTAGTGTCAACTGTAATGCTAGTCTTAATATTTGTCTTAATGTGTATGGTTATGTCCAATTGTTTTAGATACACACCACGAAAACAACAGTCACGCACCTTGACTTTTCCTCATGTTTTGGCTAAACGTTATAGCAGCTGCAAGGCTTGCTTATCGGGTGACGTCACGGTTCGACAGCCCAGAAAGGATTAATATTGTATAGCAATGCTTGGTTCGGGGTCTTTTGGGTTTCCGGGCTGCTTTGGCAGCCTGGGGGTTGGAAGATCTCTGGACTGGAAGTGTGAATTCTTGCCTGTGACTCTTTGAATAAACCAGCACGGTTATATTTTTATATACTCAAGTGGTCTGAGTCATCCCTCGGAGTTCCTGGTTTGAAAGAACCGGAAGAAGCTACACAGAAATAATAGCTTATAACAGGTAAAATTAACATTACACGCTCAGGCATCTTGCACCTCCAAACTGCACGCAGGCAGATGAAAGATGAAAGACCATGAACCCACCAGGCCTATACACTATATCCCCTGGTTGGGCTAGCCCCATACTACACAGAAACGTCAACCGAGACGTCTCTGTTACCAGCTTTGCAGCTGGTCATAGCAGTAGTCAAAACATGAAGCAAATCAATGTGTGTGTGTCTGTTGATTAAGTGGTGTGTAACTAAAAACACTCGGATGAGACCAATGACCGTTGTATCATCTGCAAACTTTAGGAGCTTGACAGAGGGGTCCTTTGAAATGCAGTCATTGGTGTAGAGTGAAAACAGCAGAGGGGAGAGCACACATCCCTGTGGGGCGCCTATGCTTATTGTCCGTGTGCTGGATGTGGGTTTCCCCAGCCTCACCTGCTGCTTCCTGTCTGTCAGAAAGCTAGTAATCCACTGACAGGTGGGGGCAGGCAGAGTGAGCTGGGTCAGTTTGGAGTGGAGGATGTCCGGGATGATGGTGTTGAATTCAACTCAAAGGACTTCATAACGATGGTGGTGACAGTGGTGCGGTGGGTAGAGCAGTCATCTTCCAACCAGAAGGTTGAAGGTTCAAATCTCGGTGCCTGCAGTCCACGTGTCAAAGTGTCCTTGGGCAAGACACTGGACCCCCCTGTTGCCCCCGATGGTTAGAGCCGTCGGTTGAGTTGGCACTGCAGATGGCTGCTATCGGTTCTGCACTGGTTCCTTGTGTGTAACATACTTGGCCAATAAAGGTGATTATCCTTATTATTATAACTACAGATGTCAAGGCAATAGGTCTGTAGTCATTCAGTCCACCGGGATGATGGTGGAGTGTTTGAAGCAGGAGGGGACTTCACACCGCTCCAGTGACATGTTGTAGATGAGTGTAAAGTTGGGGGCCAGCTGATCAGCACTTTCAGGCAGCAGGAGGTCATGTCATCTGGGCCTGGTGTCTTTCTGATCCTTTGTTTTTTTAAAGAGGCCACACACATCCTTTTCACAGACCGTTAGAGGTGGGGGGCAGGGGTGGTAATTGTCATGGGAACGGCTGCTGGGTCTGAGGTTAGGAGGGTGAGCAAGAGGGGTGCAGGTGTTGATTTTCAAACCTGCAGTAAAACTCATTCAGGTTGTTTGTTAGTTGATGGTCCACAGTAGGGGGGATGGTTTCCTATAGCCAGTGATGTTCTGAAGACAATGCACTGCAGAATTAGTTGCAATAGATCATAAATCTCTTGAGGTTTATCTTCTTCACATGTGGTGAAAATGTTTAATTTAAGGAATATAAAAACAAGACTGTGGTGTAAAAATAAAAAGAGCTGCAGGCTTCACTGGAAATAACTTTTATTCAGGTTCAGTTTCATTCCACCCACTAAATGGCAAATCTATGAAAAACCTTCAATTTAAATTACTTTGCTACTGAGGTTTTGGAGGAATTCTACACAGCACAAATGTGGCTTTACCTCTTTATTGCAGCCGCCTTTCTCTCCACTATCATTTCTTTTAGACTTGGGAAACACATCTCTGTAGATCTTTTATTCAGAAAAGAAGGCATCTATTCTTCTGTACAAATTGCTCTCTTGTTACCAGTAATCACAGTACAATGTCTTATCCCACAGATCAATGGTGTTTTAAGCAGGCAACATGAAATGGGAGGGCCTCTGGATGACAGAAGACAGAGGCCTATTTTCATTCTGACTGCAGAGACAAACAGTGGACACCAGTCCGGGTTTTTACAGGACATCTGTCAACCACTCGCGAAAATACAACTCAAAGTCAGAACACATGATCTGTAACCACATCCTATCCAGCCGTAAAGTCAATGAAGGTAGAAGGCCATCTCCTATACCAAAGAAATAATGGTGCACTTACCCTGTTGGCTATTCTTTGCAGCTGTAATGCCACGGTGTTAGGATGTCAAAGGAGCAAGCCAATTTCACACTTGGACAAAGAGTCATTATGGGAGAAGTCGACGTGACATCTGATAGAGATCCCATGGAGCATGGCGGAGAACTCCGCTCTCAT